GTATTGGCAAATACCACTCGATGAAAAATCACGAGAAATCACGGCATTTAGCACGCCTCTAGGCCACTTTGAGTTTCTACGAATGCCATTTGGTCTCAGAAATGCCCCACTAACATTTCAAAGAATGATCAACACTCTGTTTGCCGGACTAATTGGTAACACAGTCTGCGCTTATTTGGATGATCTAATAGTAGTCAGTAAGGACGTCGATTCCCATCTGATTAAACTGCGTGAAGTTTTGGCCAAACTTTCCACAGCAGGCCTCAAAATAAAACTCTCAAAGTGCAAGTTTTTAAAATCCAGAATCCATTTCCTTGGTCATGTAGTCGACAGGTGAGGGCATACACACAGTTAATGATAAAGTCAAAGCTGTATCTCAGTTCCCGCGTCCTACCTCAAATGATCATGTGCGTAGCCTTCTCGGATTATCTGGTTATTATCGTTCCTTTATCAAGGACTATGCAACATTAGCATCGCCCCTAACGAGGTTGCTCAAAAAAGATGCAATGTTTATATAGGATGCTGAACACGAGGAAAGTTTTACGGCATTGAAGACAGCGCTAACCAATGCCCCGGTTCTAGCATTCCCAGACTACACTCAACCTTTCACTCTCTGTACTGACGCTCCCGGAATTGGAGTCGGAGCAGTGCTCATGCAAGAGGACACGCGTGGGAAGTTTAGAGTGATAGCATTTGCAAATCGCAAACTAATCGATGCTGAAACACGTTATTCGGTGACGCATTTAGAAACGTTAGCCGTTGTGTGGGCACTTAAGAAGTTCAAAGACATTATCTTTGGCTACAAGATAACTGTTTTTACTGATCATGCGGCAGTCACCGAACTGTTCCATGACAGAAACTTATCAGGCAGATTAGCACGCTGGTATCTGACAATTCAAGAGTTTGACCCCGAATTTAGGTATTTACCTGGGAGGGCGAATGTTGTCGCTGACGCTCTGTCAAGAAATATAGCACCAGTAATGCCTGTATCAGCATTCACTCTTTCGCAGCTGGAAGATGAGCAACGACGCGACCCATATTGGTCAGCTGTTATTTTTGCTCTCGAATCGGGCGAGGATGTTAAACTCCCCAAGTTATTTCTTCCCTTAAGTCAGTTTGAATTACGACATAACATACTCCATAGGACGAGAAAATCTCCTGAGGGTAATGTGTCTCAAATAGTCGTACCTGACACGTTGCGCAAAGCAGTAATGACATTGTTCCACGATGTCCCACAAGCAGGTCACCAAGGTCGTGATAAATGCTTAGCGGATTTACGAAAGAAGTATTTCTGGAACACTATGAAGAAAGACATAGAATTACACATAGCTAATTGTTTGGCATGTGCTCAACATAAAGGATCAACAGGATCACCTGCCCCGATTCTACAATATCCTACACCAGACCGTCCGTTTGACACAGTCGCTGTTGATGTGTTACAGCTCCCAATGAGTCATCAGGGATCAGGATACGTCTTAGTGTGTGTGGATCATTTTTCCAGGTTCGTGGTCTTGGTCCCACTAAAAAGCAAAACGGCCGAAGCAGTAGCCTATGCATTAGTGATGAATCTCATATGTCCATATACTACGCCTAAAGTTCTACTCTCTGATAATGGAACAGAGTTCAAGAATGAGCTAATAGAGCATATATGTGCACAATATGGAATTAAACAAACTTTTGTGACAGCTTATCATCCACAGGCTAATGGCCTTGTTGAAAGAACCAATCGTAAAATCCTAGAAATACTGCGTCCAATTGTTAGTGGTTTTCAATACGCATGGGAGGATTGGTTACCGCAGGTTGCAGCGTCGATAAATGGGTCAGTTAATAGCTCTACGGGCAAAACACCCTACTATATTGTCTATGGTACAGATAAACGTCTGCCTTACGACATCCTTACAGAGGCGCCATACCCGGTATATAATACGGATGATTTTGCGGCAAAACAAATTCATGTCTTTACAGAAATTCATAACCAAGTACGATCACAGCTAGCGGCATCACGCGCCGAAATGATCATCAAACAGCATAAACATGCTAAACCTATCGCACTGAACGTTGGGGACGCTGTTATGTTACAGGTACCTGAAAGGAACTCCAAACTTTCGGCGAAATTTTCTGGTCCATTCCGCATAATCTCAAAAGAAGCAGGCAACAAATTCAAAATATGGAAGCCTAATGCACAGATCGCAGATGTCGTGCACGCGGATCGTCTGAAGAAGACCCAGATAAATGTCTTACCTCCAGTTGATGATAATGTGATTGATACATCCTTACAGACTGTTCAGAAGCAAAATGTCCCAAATGACTATTGTATGAAACTACGTTCTGCGAGTAGAAGTTAACTCGTACTTTCGCGTCAGATGGAAAACGTCGACGGCCAACTACAATCAGCATTGGACATTCTTCATGGTCTCAGCTCAGCTTCGATGAATTCGACAATAGTTTCATGGACGTTGTCGTTCAAGCTGTATCTCAACAGAATCGTGTTATTTCTCAAACCTTTCACGCGATTACTGCTCTAGAATCAAAGGTTAATGCAATCATAATGGAGTCTAACCAAGTTTCGAGGATTGTTACTAGGTTACAGAAAGCAATCCCGACGTTAGAATGGCTCCTTTACTTCACAGAATATTTGCATGCTGCTGAAATTTCAGTTCATAAAATTGTAACCTCTAAAAATGAACTAATAGACAGCATTGTAGATGCCGGGATAGGACGTGTGGACGCGAAGCTTGTGCCTGTGCAGACGCTTCTTGAAGCTTTAAAAATAGCCAAGTTGCAGTATCATTTAACTCCGATTTTCAATGACAATGAGGTTCACTATTATTACCCGCTGTTGGAGTCAACCCTCACGCACATCGCAATTCTGATCCACATTCCTATGCGAGGGCAACATGAGTTTAATGCATGGCATTTAGAACCCTTCCCCTGGTTTGTGAACGACACACTGTATACCCTAGATAGGCCTAAAGAACTTTTCTTAGTAGATGAAGAATATTCATTGTTATCAATAGAGGATTCTGAGGACCTGTCACGGTGTAAGTCGTCTTATCTACACCTACACGTATGTCCAGCCTACATGTTTGCATTTATTCCTGCTGCAGAAGGAATATGTGAATTGGCAGTCATACAACCAAATGTACGCACAGCGTTAGCGCAATGCAGTTATAGGCCAGTTAGTCTAAAGACTGTGTTCCACGCTCACCTTCACAATGTGCAGTATTTGTTCTTTCCAAATCTCACTACTGTAATTTTAAAATGCCAAAATGGTGTTAAGCAGCTAGTTGTGAAAGGGCATTACAAGGCTCCTGATTACTGTGAAATCACTTGTAGTACATTACGGACCTTGCCTACTCATCAGCATTTTGCGTTAAATCGAAAACTCAAGTCTGCTTTAATTCCACTTCCTATAATGAATTTCACTATCAAGGATATTCAAATAGTATCAGAGAAATTAAAAGTGTTAGCTTTCTTGAACGAGACACATTTTGCTGATTTGAATAATAACTTGCCATTTTATCTGTCACGGGAATTTGCACTACCAAGTCTTACGATTCCCTCTATTCTGTTAATTCTGGCAATTAGGTTCCTGTTCTGTTATTACCGGGCAGTATCATCCAAATTCAACATTGTTCATAATATACTAAACCGTACGACACAAAAGTCTAGGTCCCCTGTAGTAGAGAATACCCCTACAGTAATATCCCCAGCTTAGTGTCTACATATCTGTTTATAACATGGTTAGGGTTGTCTAGGATATACTGTACTCTGTGAGTTATTTAGGCCTCACGGAGCTCGGCTGGTAGGTGACCGAGCGATGTAATAGGCCCCTGTCTCATCAACAGAACGTATTATATAAATGGGTCAATACATCTGATATTATATTCAGATTCACCACCCTGTAACTTTCCACTGTCTATAAGTAAGACATGAGATGGACACGTGAGCGGGCAACTCACCCAAGAGGGCGAGACCCATAGCTCAGCATTTCTGTAAGCACGCACTGCGATGCCCTTAAGCTTCAGTAGCTCACCTCAACTCATATCGTAAGGACGTGACCTAACGTTTATCATACATAAACGCCGTCCCTTTCTCATTCACTCCTAGACAGTGAGACTTACGGTTGATATACACTCAGGAATTATATCTACAACCTTTTATAATAAAACAAAGGAACTACCGTTTGGGTTTCGTTACTTAAAACCCAAATATAAATATGTGTGAACGGACTGGTTAATTGGACAAGCAGCCGATTCAGGGGAATTTGGATCAACATCAAGCATGTCGGGGCAGAGTATGCGTTTCGTGTTGTTATTAGATTATGAGTTGATTAAATTGTCGTATGATATCAAACACCTTCAGTAATCAAGGCTTGTTTCAGCTAATACATCCATATACATCTGCAACAGAACAAAACAAAACCCAATTAGAACAAGATAATATTTAGAGTAAAGGTAAACACAAACATAATTTATTCCATAATATGACACATAATAAAGCTTACATCATTTTTAATTAACTTATTATATGTTTGTATGTATGTAATTTGCCATTTTTGGATCAATGAACTTATGCATCTATTTATCTATCAATGCGACGCCATCAGCGTGAATTAAGTATAATGAATATCAGTTCCTACACAACGAACAGTAAGATGCCCACAAGGACAATAGATAATATAACAATGATTATACAAGAATCACTTTCCCGTGACAAGGATCTACATTTGACGCTGCCAGGCATGAGGCGATGTTTTCATGGTGGTGACCTATAATAAGTTCATGATTTCATTAGATACGTTTTCATCAAATATTTCTATTAAGTTAAAACTGTCTCTATCTCAGAGATTATTGCGCCGAAAATTAAACCAACAGTTGTATTAACATTTCTAAATTCAATAATAATTAGGTTTCCCACTTTTTTGCATAATAATCATCTTTGTCTCTCTTAATTTTCTTTGTATTCGTTCTCTCTTATCATAGTCTGCCATCACACAGAATGGTGACACCAGCACTTGTGTTGATGGTGATAGCAGGTGTGGCGGCTGACAGCTTCCAGGTACCTGCTCAAGCACGGCGACTAGTTACTGAGGACTGTGGTGAAATCAATATGGTGCCAGGAGAGACAAAAGTCATCCAGGACGAAAGCAACCCAAGTGGAAACTGTAGTCCAAATCAAAGGTGAAGTGAGGCGTGACTTAATAATGTGTTGTAAGGAAACCTAACCTAACCTAACCTAACCTAACTCTACCTAACGTGAGTCTGACACACTGTGTGTCCACCCTCGTGAGTCTGACACACTGTGTGCCCTCCCTCGTGAGTCTAACAGACTGTGTGTCCTCCCTCGTGAGTCTAACACACTGTGTGTCCTCCCTCGTGAGTCTAACACACTATGTGTCCTCCCTCGTGAGTCTAACACATTGTGTTTCCACCCTCGTGAGTCTAACGTACTGTGTGTCCTCCCTTGTGAGTCTAACACACTGTGTTTTTTCGCTCGTGAGTCTAACACACCGTGTGTCCACCCTCGTGAGTCTAATACTGTGTGTGTCCTCCCTCGTTAGTCTAACACACTGTGTGTCCTCCCTCGTGAGTGTGTGTCCTCCCTCGTGAATCTAACGCACTGTGTGTCCTCCCTCGTGACTCTAACACACTGTGTGTTCACCCTCGGGAGTCTAACACAGTGTGTCCACCCTCGTGAGTCTAACACTGTGTGTCCTCCCTCGTTAGTCTAACACACTGTGTGTCCTCCCTCGTGAGTCTAACACACTGTGTGTCCTCTCTCCTGAGTGTGTGTCCTCCCTAGGGAATCTAACGCACTGTGTGTCCTTCCTCGTGAGTCAAACACACTGTGTGTCCCCCTTCGTGAGTCTAACACTGTGTCCTCCCTCGTAAGTCTAACACACTGTGTGTCCTCCCTCTTGAGTCTAACACACTGTGTGTCCTCCCTCGTGAATCTAACACACTATGTGTCCACCCTCGTGAGTCTAACACATTGTGTTTCCACCCTCGTGAGTCTAACACTGTGTGTGTCCTCCCTTGTGAGTCTAACACACTGTGTGTCCTCCCTCGTGAGTCTAACACACTGTGTGTCCACCCTCGTGAGTCTAACACACTGTGTGTCCTCCCTCGTGAGTCTAACACACTGTGTGTCTTCCCTCGTGAGTCTAACACACTGTGTGTCCTCCCTCGTGAGTCTAACACACTGTGTATCCACCCTCGTGAGTCTAACACACTGTGTGTCCACCCTCGTGAGTCTAACACACTGTGTGTCCTCCCTCGTGAGTCTAACACACTGTGTGGCCTCCCTCGTGAGTCTAACACACTGTGTGTCCACCCTCGTGAGTCTAACACACTGTGTGTCCTCCCCCGTGAGTCTAACACTCTGTGTGTCCACCCTCGGGAGTCTAACACACTATGTGTCCACCCTCGTGAGTCTAACACACTATGTGTCCACCCTCTTGAGTGTAACACTGTGTGTCCTGCCCTCGTTTTCTTTATTACTTTGCTGTCACTCAGAATCGAGTATGACGATCATCCAGCTATAATAAAATGATAGGAGTTATTAAGGATGTCACCTTCGTTGGTGAGCTCTGAGGTGACTAGAGAGACCGATACGGGACCGGCAGGGTCGTCCAGAGATGTTGCACGTGTAGGGGGCTACATCTATTGCAGTCGGGCTAACTGGAAAGTATTGACACCCCGTGTGGTGCTCCTACAAGCGTTACGGTGTCGAGTGATCGTCTCCCATTTGATGGGGTCGATTTGGCACTTCTTCAGGTTTGTCTTAAGATTATCCTCATATCCTTTCCATTGCCCCTCAGCATTATTTTTACCATTCGTTAGGTGACTGTAAAGTAATTGCTTTGGCATTCTACTCTCGTCCATACGGGTAACATGGCCTGTCCAACGTAGTTGTTCATAGATAATAGTAGCCTCGATGCTCCTACAGTTGGTGTAAGCAAGAATACTGGCATTTGCTCTCTTGTCTTCCCAGTGAACTCGGAGGATGGAACGTAGACTACGTTGGTGAAAGTCTTAAAGCGACTTGAGGTGCCTCCTGTATGTGACCCATGTCTCGCTGCCATACAGCAGGGTGGGGAGATCCACTGCTCGATATGTGTACAACTTTGTGTATAATTTTAGCTCCCTACAGCTGAAGGCACATGTACGGAGTCTGCCAAAGGCTTGAGATGCACAGCTGATATGATGTTGAATCTCTTCATCGATGTCCATGGTGGTGGGCAGGTGGGAGCCGAGATTTCGAAAATGGGTAACATTAGAGACGGTAGTACCGTTAATCTGGATGGATAACATTAGAGAATGTAGTGCCGTGAATCTGGATGGATGGTGAAGGTGTGATTGAACCAGGGGCAGGCTGACAGAGAATCTGGGTCTTAAGTACATTAACCTCAATTCCAAGTGTGCATATGCATCTGCGTAGGTGTTCAGATCTCCTGTAGGTCGCGTTTAGTATAAGCAACAATGGTGAGGTCGTCTGCATACTAAAGTTCAGTAATGGAAGCTGCCATCACCTTTGTTCCTGCCTGGAGTCGTCTTGAAAAGTCCCTTCATCCGGTACTCGATGTCCACCCCTCCGGCTAAATTGACTCTGGCACTAGTAAGGAAGGCAGCCAAGAAAATGGAAAAGAGAATTTGTGCCAGTACAAATCCTTGTTTTACTTCCGTTTGGACGAGGAAGAAGTCATACTTTGGACCGTTGTGCAGGACACATCCATTCCTGCCATCCTGGAGTTGCCTCACAATGGCAGTAAATTTTGGTGGACATCCAAAACGACTAAGGGTCTGCCACACACACACACACACACACACACACACACACACTACTACTACTACTACTAATACTTTGCTGTCACTCGGAATCTAGTACAGGTATGTCTATCATCCAGCTATATAATACAATGATATAACTTATTAAGTTTGTCACTTAGGTTGGTGAGTTTTGAGGTGACTAAAGAGGCCGATATGGGACCTGCAGGGTCATCCACATTCGTTGCAGATATGGAGGGCTGCATCTAGTGCGGGAGGGGCGGTGGCAGCATCTTTCCGGCGTTTGAGCTTGTCTGCCTCGGTTTGCAATCAGGCTAACTCGAAAGTATTGACACCTTCTCGTGTGGTGCTCCTTAAAGGGTTACAAAGTGGAGCAATCGGCTCCCAGGTGAGGGGGTAAAATTGGCACTGCTCAATATACATGTAACACTGTGGATAGTTTCAGCTCTCTACAGCTGAAGACACGGTTTCGGAGTCTGCCAAAGGCTTGAGATGCACATCTGATCCGATGCTTCATCTCTTCATTAATGTCTGCAGTGGTGGATAGGTGGGCGCCGAGATACCGAAAGTGGGTAACATTAGAGAGGGTAGTATCATTCAGCTGGATGTATGGTGGAGGTGTGTCTGAACCAGTGGCACGTTGAAAGAGAATCGGAGTCTTATGTACATTCACCTCAAGGCCGATGTGTGAATATTCATCTGTGTAGGTGTTCAGGATCTCCTGTAGGTCGTGTTCAGTGTGAGCAACAAGGATAAGGTTTTCTGTATACTGAAGCTCAGTAATGGAAGCTGCCGACACCGTTGTTCTTGCCTGGAGTCGCCTTATGTTGAAAAGACTGACCTGGCCCTTTAACCATTGATTCTTGCTGGGTTAATAGGGCTGGAACATGTAAAAATATATAGGGTTTGAGTAGCAAAACCCAACTGTCTTTTTTTCTGTATTTATTAAGAAAATATATTATATACAGTTCCAAGTGTATATCACGGTAACTTAATCACTGTAGCTATGAGTGTTAAAATGAGGACGGAGGCTATATTAAACGGCTCTTTTAAATACGTCCTGCTTGTGTGAGAGAGTGAGGAAGAATGCTCAAGCAGCGGGCTTCTATGTGCTGACCTAACAATCTTAGGGCTGCGCCTCAAGGAACCTACCCATCACATGATGTGACCATGTCACTTCATATCCAGTGGAAAGTTACAGGGGGTGATATGATTATATAAACCCAATGTACTTCCCTGACATTTATATAAGAACTAAGGGGCTAATACATCGCTCGATCACCAGCTTCCGAGCTTTCACGAGGAATTAACTAGTCTCGTAGAATACATCCTATACATAAACCTAACCTTGTTACAAACAAATGTGTAGACACTAAGCTGGGGACTCTGGAACCATAAGTTCATTAACTACTGGGGTCCTAGACTTTAGTGTCTAACGGGAGAGTATATTATGTACAATGTTCAACTTGCAAGATACTGACTTACAATAACAAAACAAATTATCACTGCCAAAATTAACATAATAGTGGGAATAGTTAAACTCGGTATTGCAAATCCTACAGCTACCACCTATGAACTGGCCCTTTAACTGTTGATTCTTGCTGGGTTAATGGGGCTGGAACATGTAAAAGTATATTGGGTTTTAGTAGCCATACCCAATGGTCCTTTCTATATTTATTAAGAAAATATATTATATACAGTTCCAAGTGTATATCACTTACTGGGTAGCTATGAGTGTTAAATGAGGATGGAAGCTATATTAAGTAGCTCTTCTAAATACATCCTGTTTGTGTGAGAGAGTGAGAAAAAATGCTCAAGCAGCCGGCTTGTATATGCTGACCTAACACTCGTAGGGCTGCACCTCAAGGAACTTACCCATCACGTGATGTGACCATGTCACCTCATAGCCAGTGGAAAGTTACAGAGGGTGATATGATTATATAAACGAAATGTACAGCCCTAACATTTATATAAAAACTAAGGGGCTAATACAAGACCCCCTTTCACCCAGTACTCGATGTCCACCCCACCAGCTAAATTGGCACTGACACGAGTAAGGAAGGCAGCCAAGAAAACGGAAAAGAGAATTGGTGCCATTACATACCCTTGTTTAATCCCTTTTTGGATGGGGAAGAACTCCCACTGGGCGCCCTTGTGTAGGACACTGCTATTCATGCCATCGTGGAGTTGCCTCACAATGGCGATGAATTTTGGTGGGCGGCCAAAAGGGTTGAGAGTCCACCAGAGGGCTTCCCTGTTGACTGAGTCGAAGGCTTTGGTTAGGTCGAGGAAAGCCATGTACAGGTCACGACGCCGTTCTCTGCAATTTTCCTGCATTTGGCAGGCAGCAAATATCATGTCAGTGGTGCCATGTGATGGTCTAAAATCACATTGAGATTCTGGGAGAATGTTTTCTGCCTCACTAAGAAGTCTGTTGTGGAGGACTTGGGCGATAATCTTGCCAGTTACGGAGAGCAGCGAGATCCCACCATGGTTGCCATAGTCTGACTGGTCTCCCTTGTTTTATAAATATTGACAATGGAGGCGTCTTTAAGAACTTGGGGGATTTCCTCCTTTTCTCATATATTCTCCAGGAGAGAGTGGAGACGGCTGTTAAGCTTGGCAGGGATTTCATCAGGCCCTGAGGCATTATTAGTTTTCATCTGTTTGATGGCAGTAGCTACTTTATCCAGGGATAGAGGATAGCTGAGGTAGGTTAGCTCTGGATGCTGAGGGACCTGCCAGGTAGTCAGGACATTCACGTTGGTGATTCGGTTGAGCAATGAATGGTAATGCTCTTTCCATTGCTGAAGGAGGCCTTTTTTGTCATTAATTATGAAGTTACATGAGAGGAGGGGGATGCACCACAAGTGATTGGCCCATAAGATATTTTAATGGAATTGAAAAATTCACGCATCTTGTGCTGATCTGCAGTTTTCTTGTAATTCACATGCTTTATTTTTAAGCCAGTCATTCTTTTGATTCCGAAGTTCCCGCTGGGCAGCCACATTCTTCTTGTGGAAGGTATCAGCTTTGATCCGAGACTGAGGGTTGTTTTGCCAGTCAGCAAACGCAGCACGTTTATCATCGATGAGTACTTTGATTGCCAGGTCATTTTCATCATCAAACCAGTCCTGGTGTATTCTTTCGATCTGGCCGATGGTCTCTTTGCAGGTTTTTTGTCATAACAGTGTTGAGAGTATCCCATTCGGCACTGGGATTCGTGTTGTTTGCTGTTGGGTTGTTTATAAGCCCATGTTCGAGTTGCTCTCTGAAAGCATGTGCTACAACTGGATCCTCCAGACGCTTAGTATTAAAATCTCTTCTGGAGGCTTGCTACCTTCGCTGTTTTGGGGCGACGTGAAGTGAGAGCTTGGCTCTGATAAGTCAATGATCAGTGTCACAGTGGTCTGAGCCACACATGGTACTGGTGATGAGGACATCATGGTGACATCTTACCTGACAATGATGTAGACAATGAGATGCCAGTGTTTGGATCGTGGTTGTCCTGCCGAAACAAGGTATTGGTCATAGTGAGGTTGTGTGCAGCATTCTTTCTGAGGAGGAGTAGGCCGTTGGGATTACACTTTCCTAGTCCATTTCTTCCTAAGGTTCCTTGCCAAATGTTAGCATCTCTACCAACTCCGGCATTGAAGTCACCAAGGAACACAACCTTGTCTTCTCTGGGCATAAAGATTAGTACTCTGTCGAAGTCGGCGTAAAAGGCCTCCTTGATGTCATCATCCTCTGCATCCAGTTGAAAAATGCATGCTGTGAGTGATTCAGCGGGACTCGAAGCCTCGTAAGGCGCTCGTTGATCCCAATAGGTATTTCAGTTAGCCTGTGTAGGATGCGTTGGAGGATTTCAAAGCCAACTACATAAATGCGGTTTCTCTCCACAGCAGGCTTACCCTTCCAGAAGAAGGTATAACTAGACCCCCGCTCTGTGAGTTGGCCCTCCTCTGGGAGCCGGGACTCACTGATGGCTGCTATGCCGATGTTATACCTGGCCAGTTTTTTTGCCACAAGGGCAGTTCTTCTTTCAGGATGTTCATTTGTGCCAGTATCCAGAAGGGTCCTGACATTCCATGCAGCGACCATAAGAGGTTGTATGGTTTGTTTTTGTTTGGATCTGTGAATTTTATTGTGTTTTCGACCGCATAAGGATGACCTTACTGGGTGCAGTTGCCCAGTCAGGTTGGGTTTTTAGGTACCTTTTCGAGCCCCCTCCCCATGTGGGGGGAGCAGAGTGGCTCCTACATAGGGCTGCTCAGTCGCACAGACAGGACCGGATTACACTGCTTCCTGATCCCAGTGCATAAACGACATCTTATCTGTGCCGCCCATGTGCAGAGTTGTGACTAGAGACACCCGGCAGTCATCTCTGCCTGTCCCCGTCGCTACTCGTCCATCGCCATAGGACTTTTGGGAGTATAGGGGCTTTGATGAATAAAAAAATTAAATAAATAAATAAATAAATAAATAAACAAATTAATAAATAAATAAAAATTATATTAAAAAAAATAACCTGCCCCTCCCTTTACACAACTCAACCAGCACCTAATCATACCAAACAACCACTCCCAAAGCAAAACCTAACATACCCAACCTTTACTAACAATCCCCCCAAAATAAAAATAACCCAACTCAACCTTTCACTAACCACACCCTACCACTCCTCCCAAAACAAAAACCTAACATACCCATCCCATACTAGCATACAGATGGCTTGGACGCCCCCCTTAGCCAATGAGGTAGGGGAGGGGTGCATAGTACCTGTACACAAGCCCTCCCTCGAAGAATGAAACTATACTCCCTCGAGTAACGGGCTGTCCTTGTAGAGGAAGTGACGCCAAGGAGGTTCCGTGGGGAGTGCACAATACCTACAAAAGCCCACCCCGCAAATGCAGAAGACCTGTATGAGCACACGGGAAAAAAAAATAAATAAAATAAATAAATAAAAATAAATAAATAAATAAATAAATAAATAAATAAATAATATAATTAAATAAATAAAAGAATAAATAATAAATAACTCAACTCAACCAACCACATATCCATACCTACAATCCTCCCAAGAAACTTATCATACCTGACCTTACTAACAATGTCCACCTCCCCCCCCCCCTTACTTTATCCACACACAACAATCCCCCCTAAGCAATCCTATCTCAACACAAATCAACACACCCGACCTCCAACTCCGCCTCCCCAACCAATCTCCAAACACAACATCCCCCCCCAGACAAAGCCTCACTGAAATACTTACAACTCTCCAGAACCAACCCAAACATGCCCAACCTCAGTGACAACCCTTCTCAATAAAAACAACCAAACTCAACAACTCCTCCCTAAACAAAAACTATCACTCCACATATCAACTTACCGACACCAAAAGCCCAGCCCCAGATTACAATTAAACCAACCAACCTCTATACACAACAACCCACCGCCCCACCCCCCCCCAAAAAAAAACATACTGCGAACTCATGAAAAAAAAATCTCCTCTTAATCTCCGTTAATAATTTGACAAAAAAGCTCAATTCTGTCTCCTGCCTTCATTAAAAATTATCCTACGATACGCTCATCCTTCCTTGCTACGAATACTTTGACATTTCAAGCTCAAAGATTCAAAACACTTCCCCCAACTCGCTCTGTTCGTCTTTGACATAGCTCAAAGACTTTACCGTCGCCTTTCTCCAAACAACTTTACAACTAATTACATTCCGTTTCCCTTTCCTTGGTTTTCTTTCAGTGAGAGGTGTCCGTGGGTCCGCCCCCCTGCGCTTCTCTGCTTGCGCCGCCGCCGTGGCGGGGCGGTTGGTTCGTCCTCCGCTTCACCAACACATCCTGAGCACTTGACGACCATCAGAGCTCCCACGCTTGGCCCATTGATAGCCCGACCCTACTCCCGGCCCCCACTAGGCCTCGTCCTGGCAGTGTGTTGCAGCACCACCCACCCATCTGGGCACATTGCCTACCCCCTCACGCAAGCGGTGTTTAAGCCACTGCACTTTTCCTCTCCTTATAAAATTCACTTCTATCCTCCCTTTATCCTTCCCCTGAACCTCCTTCCCCCCCCCCATGTCACTAGCCTTTATGTCATGTCATGTTATGATGATGATGAGAGGTATAATGAGCTGGATGATGGCTGTGCGTTAGTTGATTTATGTGGTGAGGCAGGAGCGCAGGCTGCAACCACACATCTTGGCTCTCCCTTTTCCTGATCTAGTGGTACAAGTGTTGCAACGACTAGGGAGAGGGAGAGTTCCAATGGACTGCCAATAGCCCAGTTTGTTGGGTTTCGCCTTAGTTCCCTGTCCTACAGGCATTGTCTTCTTCGTACGCCGGTGTAGTCGTTGGGTTTCCATGGTGTTCACCTCTTCCGCCTATACCGCCGTTGGGGTCTTGTTGGAACTCTGTAAGCATGTCTGCCTGATGCAGGGCTCCACCGCAGATTTGTCGTTTGGGGCGGTGGCTGTAGTTAGTAGGCTCCAGGACCTGTCCACATGCCAATGGTCCTATGCCCCGCCCCTCTGGGGCCCACTGCTACTCCGAGGTCTCCGTCTAGCCTGTGCCCACGAGGCACCCAGTTACCATATGTCGCCACGAGGAGGCACAGCATGAGTCTTGATGGTGAGGAGGCTGCGTACTGCTGGGGAAAGACTTATACAAGTTGTTTTCCTGTTTGCCAAGAGGGCTAGCCAGAGGTGGTAGCTGAAAGCGAGAGGGAGCAAGCAGTGATTGTACCTTAACACTAGCATGATGCTGCCACACGAGACGCATTTCACCACCCTGTGTGCGAACACACACATACAAACACACACACACACATACGCTGTATAAATAAAGTGTATGGAATATAATTTATTTATTCCTTGATGTTTAAACCATCACTATTATTTTTAAGCTTTCGTGTCATTGTTAACACCTGTTACAGCCTTGCTTGGCATCACTGTTAACACCTGTTACAACCTTACAGTACTTGGCATCACTGTTAACACCTGTTACAACCTTTCTTGGCATCAGTTAACACCTGTTACAGCCTCATTTGGCATCACTGTTAACACCTGTTACAAATTTCACTCAGCATTATGATCAACACCTGTTTGAGCCATCATTTGACATCCCTATCAACAGTAAGCGACATTTGACATCATTATCAACACCTGGTAAACCTTTTCTTTGTTTACAGATGTCAGTGGACGTTCAACTGTGGACCAGAGAAGTCTACCTATCTCAAATTTAGATGTCCATACTTTTGCTTAGGGGACAGTACCAACTGTGTGAAGGACCGCCTAATACTAACGTCCAGGGGCGCTACTGAGAGGTGAGTTACTCAGCTAAGTTTTATCAGTATCATAAACAAACATCTTACTTTGCATGGAGTTAATACCAATATGGAACATTGATTTGACTTGTTACCCACAGTGACTAGTTACTTGTATTGTCATCATAGTTTACTTTTATCCGTAGTGACTAGTTACTTGTGTTGTCACCATAGTTTACTTGTTATCCGTAGTGACTAGTTACTTGTGTTGTCACCATAGTTTACTTGTTATACATAGTGACTAGTTGCATCTGTTGTCACCATAGTTTACTTGTTATCCATAGTGATTAGTTGCATCTGTTGTCACCATAGTTTACTTGTTATCTGTAGTGACTAGTTACTTGTGTTGTCACCATAGTTTACTTGTTATCCGTAGTGACTAGTTACTTGTGTTGTCACCATAGTTTACTTGTTATACATAGTGACTAGTCACCATAGTTTACTTGTTATCCATAGTGACTAGTTGCATCTGTTGTCACCATAGTTTACTTGTTATCCGTAGTGACTAGTTACTTGTATTGTTACCATAGTTTACTTGACTTGTTATCCATAGTGACTAGTTACTTGTGTTGTCACCATAGTTTACTTGACTTGTTATCCATAGTGACTAGTTACTTATGTTGTCACCATAGTTTACTTGACTTGTTATCCATAGCGACTAGTTACTTGTGTTGTCACCATAGTTTACTTGTTATCCATAGTGACTAGTTATTTGTGTAGTCACCACAGTTTACTTGTTATCCATAGTGACTAGTTACTTATGTTGTCACCATAGTTGAATTCACACCTTCGAGGTTTTCCCAATGTGTTAACTTTTGTGTTTTATTAACAATATAAAAATGACGTCAAGAAAAAATATGTCATGGTATTATGCCCTCCTATTAATACACACAGCCATATACCTAGCAGTAATATATACGGCCATATATATAACAGTAATATACACGGCCATATACATAACAGTAATATACACAACCATATACATAACAGTAATATACACAGCCATATACCTAGCAGTAATATATACGGCCATATACATAACAGTAATATACTGTACACAGCCATATACATAACAGTAATATACTGTACACAGCCATATACATAACAGTAATATACACGTCCATATACATAAGTCATATACAAATTAATAAAACAGTATAGACAGTGAAACGTACAGACTTAATACTGCTCTCTCTCTCCAGACATTGTGGCACAAACTCACCTGACGGCACCATTACAAGCACCGGCTTCGCTCGTGTCACCTTCAGGGCGAACAGGGCGGTCGAAGACACGGGCTTCAGATGTTATGTTTGTTGCTTCGATAAACCCACTATTGTTACCAAACCCCCTCCCACTATTGTTACCAAACCCCCTCCCACTATTGTTACTAAACCCCCTCCCACTATTGTTACCAAACCCCCTCCTACTATTGTTACCAAACCCCCTCCCACTATTGTTACCAAACCCCCTCCCACTACTGTTACCAAACCCCCTCCCACTATTGTTACCAAACCCCCTCCCACTATTGTTACCAAACCCCCTCCCACTATTGTTACCAAACCCCCTCCCACTAGTGTTACTAAAGGTTAATCTGCCTGGTGGACTTTTGCGTAAACAAGTGCTTCCAACATTGACCGTGACTGATACTGACCGTGACTGATATTGACTGTGACTGATGTTGACCGTTACTGACGTTGACCGCGACTCATGTTGACCGTGACTGATGTTGACCGTTACTGATGTTGACCGCGAATCATGTTGACCGTGACTGATATTGACCGTGACTGATGTTGACCGTGACTGATGTTGACCGTTACTGATGTTGACCGTTACTGATGTTGGCCGTTACTGATGTTGACCGTTTCTGATGTTGACCGAAACTGATGTTGACTATGACTGATGTTGACCGTGACTGATGTTGACCGTTACAGATGTTGACCGTTTCTGATGTTGACCGTTACTGATGTTGACCGTTTCTGATGTTGACCGTAACTGATGTTGACTGTGACTGATGTTGACCGTGACTGATGTTGACCGTTACTGATGTTGACCGTTTCTGAAGTTGACCGTGACTGATGTTGACCGTAACTGATGTCGATGTAGTCCGTAACTGATGTTCACCGTGACTGATGTTCACCGTAACTGATGTCGATGTAGTCCGTAACTGATGTTGACCGTAACTGATGTTGACTGTGACTGATGTTGACCGTAACTGATGTTGACCGTAACTGATGTTGACTGTGACTGATGTCGACCGTAACTGATGTTGACCGTAACTGATGCTGACCGTAACTGATGCTGACCGTAACTGATGCTGACCGGAATGAAAGATCTAATCATGATGTTGGTTCAGCAACTAATACGTCATACAGCCTAAGAGAGAAGATACACAATAATTAACTTGGCTCTATGTGTTAACTGAGGCTCACGGGCGTCTGGAGGTTGGAAACCTAGTTCCTCGTTCTTAAATTTACCCTTAATATCGATATGTTTGAGGCAGTCACAAGTTCACTACTGACTGAGGCTTTGACTGCAATACTTACCTGCTGACTACTATAAACTGCTGATGCTCAAGGTCAGTTAGGTTAGCTTGGGTTAGGTCAGGTCAGGTCAGCTTAGGTTAGGTTCGTTCTTACTGTGTAGCACATGGTGACTAGAACCCTGGTTGTGACACTCTTTGAAGTTCACTTTCCCTGCAACACAAATCATCTGCTTCACACACATCTGTTAACACCTCACATCTGCTTCACACACACGTCTGTTAACACCTCACATCTGCTTCACACACACGTCTGTTAACACCTCACATCTGCTTCACACACACGTCTGTTAACACCTCACATCTGCTTCACACACACATCTGTTAACACCTCACATCTGCTTCACACACACGTCTGTTAACACCTCACATCTGCTTCACACACACATCTGTTAACACCTCACATCTGCTTCGCACACACACATCTGTTAACACCTCACATCTGCTTCACACACACACATCTCTTAACACCTCACATCTGCTTCACACACACACACACACACACACACACACACACACACACACACACATCTGTTAACACCTCACATCTGCTTCACACAACATCTGTTAACACCTCACATCTGCTTCACACACACGTCTGTTAACACCTCACATCTGCTTCACACACACATCTGTTAACACCTCACATCACACACACGTCTGTTAACACCTCACATCTGCTTCACACACACATCTGTTAACACCTCACATCTGCTTCACACACACACACACATCTGTTAACACCTCACATCTGCTTCACACACACGTCTGTTAACACCTCACATCTGCTTCACACACACGTCTGTTAACACCTCACATCTGCTTCACACACACATCTGTTAACACCTCACATCTGCTTCGCACACACACATCTGTTAACACCTCACATCTGCTTCACACACACACATCTCTTAACACCTCACATCTGCTTCACACACACACACACACACACACACACACATCTGTTAACACCTCACATCTGCTTCACACACACACATCTCTTAACACCTCACATCTGCTTCACACACACACACACACACACACACACACACACACACACACACATCTGTTAACACCTCACATCTGCTTCACACACACACACATCTCTTAACACCTCACATCTGCTTCACACACACACACACACACACACACACACACACACACACACACATCTGTTAACACCTCACATCTGCTTCACACACACGTCTGTTTAACACACACACACACACATCTGTTAACACCTCACATCTGCTTCACACACACGTCTGTTAACACCTCACATCTGCTTCACACACACGTCTGTTAACACCTCACATCTGCTTCACACACACATCTGTTAACACCTCACATCTGCTTCGCACACACACATCTGTTAACACCTCACATCTGCTTCACACACACACATCTCTTAACACCTCACATCTGCTTCATACACACACACACACACACACACACACACATCTGTTAACACCTCACATCTGCTTCACACACAAGCATCAAAAATTATGTATTATTATAAGAGAAAATTAAGCATATGTAAGATTTGTTTACATTTTATCAAGCACATTTTATTGTTAATTTGGACAAATAAAATCATTGCACAGCCTATTGTTATTATTCACCTTATATAACCTTGACGGTCACTGTATGCCCTCCCTGACACGGGTAACAACCTCAACCTAACCTACTGTAACTTAATATAACTTACCCTACCATATCATACCATACCATACCATACCATACCATACCATACCATACCTAACCTAAACTACCCCACCCCAAGCCAATCGAAACCAACTTAACCTAATCCTGACCGCCACAGTTTGTCCTCCCTGACACGGGTAGCCAGCTCCCACAATCGCCGTGGTGATATCTCAGTCTGGGAAGATTTTTGGTTCTCTCCTGGACCACCCTTGGGTCCGTGGTCAACAGTAATACAAGGAGCACAACCTTGGGGCCTGTGTAATATGTGTGTGCAAGTTTCATGTCTTTAACTGCTTCCGTTTTGGAGCTGTGCTGTAGCTGGGACAGACACACAATTTAGAGAGAGACACGTCCATTTATTACTATACATATTCTTATTTTAGAAAAAAAGAAAGTTTAGAAGAAAATTTAAGAGCCATTGTCTCTGGTTTGATCTTAAGCCTATACACCAAAAACAGTCCTTCATAGAACAGTAATTGAGGTACTGGCCGGAATATAACCTTAGGTCTCCATGACGGTTTTGACAGTGTCCCCTGACCCATGTACTGAACTCAAAAAATTTGAAATATTTTTTTCTAATGTAGATTCTTATATTGATTCAAAAAATGTTATTTTTTGATAAATTAATATAAAAATCATAATAGCCCATTAAACTTTCAATGATCTACATTGAAATGTTACACTGTGGAGTAAAATACTGAGAAGAACAACCAAACAAGCCTTTGAAAACCTGACCTAACCTATAAAAGGTTAAAAATTGCTTTCGAGTTCATGGTTCCCCCTCCTCATCTGAACCCCAAAAGACACCAACACATACTTAACACCGAAAACACGAATAAGGTAAAGTAAATGATTTATAGTTTTAGGATTGTTATAGGTTGGGTAAGGTTGGATAAGATTTCCCAAGGCTTGTTTGGTGTACTTCATTGCGTGATTATATTGATCTGCAACAAAAATGATAAGGTTATTGAATAATTTTAAGTACAATTATTTTCTTCATTAATTGCCAATGATACTCTGGGTCCAGTCAAGGAAGTGAGCGACAGAGATGTGGCCGTCGGGATAGGTGGCCTTAAGCCTCGTACACATCAAAATACATTGTCTAGAAACAGTCGCTCAACAATGTTTCTGGGCTGTTGCGAGACAATCCAGAAACAGTAGCGAGACAGTCCAGAAACGCTTGGGATACACGGTAACATTGTTTCTGGACTGTCTACCGACTGCTGTGAAACAGTCCAGAAGCAATCGGCAAACTTTGTTGCTGGACTGTCTCACGATTGTTTCACAACAGCCGCGAGACAGTTCAGAAACATTGTTGCAGGTCCAGCCCAAGCTAGAGCGATGAATTGGCGGGATGAGCAGTCGACGTCATCATGTCGGTGGATGCAGAAGTGGCCGCTGCAGCGGGTGCCTGTGTTTTTATTTCCTAAGGAGAAAGAAGATGGAGAGCAAGGTAAAGTCCTAGACGATGGTGGAGGAAGGAACAAAATATGGAGAAAAACTAATGACAGACCTGAAACAAGAAGATGCAGCTGGATTTAGAAACATTTTAAGAACAATAGCTTCAGATTTTTAAATATTACTGAAAATGGTTGGTCCCAAAATCACAAAGCAAAATACAAACTATGGAGCCTCAATCCCTGCCAAAATACCTCTTGCAGTACCATTAAGGTATCTTGCCAGTGGGGACTCATTTACAAGCCTGATGTATACCTTCAGTGTCAAAACAGTCAATATCTTCCATCGTTCCGGAAGTGTATGACTTTCTCATTGATGCCCCAAAGGAATTTGTATTAATTTTTGTTGTGTCTTAGGCTATATACTCACCTGATTTACATCATCAGTGCATCGGCCGCCTCTTGGCTCGTTTCCTCCAATCAGGAAGATAAGCAGTTCATACCCGAACCACAAACACTTCTTAGGGGAACAACCACTTTTTTTTTTTTTTAGAATCACTCAATTTTTTATGTTCTTTCCTAATTTTTCTACATTAGCTCATTTGCAAGTTTCTGTATGGCGTCTTTCTTTTTTCATCGGTTTTTATAGTCTGGGCATGTGACATCCCATAAAGAAGGAATAGCATGTAGCATCTCAATTATAGAAAGTGTTGTTTCAGTTGTCCACATGATGCTGAAAATAAAAGATATCAACTACATGTAGTACTGTTAACTAAGCAAACAATAATGCATGTAGCTCTTAGGTGTAAGCAAACCCACCTCACAGATCACAGGCTGAACGTCAACTGATACTCCATGTTGCCAAATGCGTCCAGATTGAGAAACTTTGTATCTTGTTTCCCTTACGGGATGGGAAACAAGAAACATATGAAGTCGTGTTTCTGGACTGTTGCGAGAAAGTCGCGCAATAAATTTGTATTTTTCTGAGACAGTCGTGCAACATTCCCGAGACTATGTTGCGCAACAATGTATCTCAGTGTGTACTCGACGACAGCCTTGAGACGCCACGAAGGTGATGACCCCAGCCAGCACGACCCTCGACCCGTTCTGCAACGTAATCAGGTTGGGGGACAGGTGGTAGAAGCGGTACCGTTCTTGCCTCGCAAGCGAGATGTCACAGGTTCGATTCCCGGGCCGGTGGAAGTTGTTTGCACTTACTTCCTAGCCCCCACTAGTCTCTGTTCACCTAGCAGTAAAGTAGGTACCTGTTGAAAGTCGAAAGTTGCGAATTCGTATTCAGGGAGTTGTTGGAGCTTCCAAGGGGGTGCCCAATAAATAATAAAAAAAAATAGAAAATAAAAAAAAACGTAATCAGGCCGCCTGA